AAAAAATGGGTGTAGGAACATTGTATGACTGAAACTCAATCATGAACAACCTTGTAACTGTGTATCTCACAGAAATTCAACAACAAAAAAAGGGGCATTATATAAGCTTTGTATGTTGATGTTTTCCTTAGGATTTGGAAATTTTTAGTTATTATTCCTTTCAATCATTTCTTTGCTACCTTCTCTCTCTTTTCACTTACCAGTTTACCAATATCCTTCAATTTCCTCATACGCAATCTGACAATTCCTGAAGGATTTCTTCACTATTTCTGAACTTCATTTATTATTATTTTTCCATAAGATTATTGCTATTATTTTACCTCTGGACCCTCTGCCACGCTGTTTCATTCAAAGCACCCCGGAGTGGGGCAGGCGAGACCCTTCCCCACCCCAAGTGACCCAACCTCGGCAGCCAAATATCTAGAACTCCACTGCTACCATGCCCACGGCTGTTCTCCATGTGCTTGGGCTGAACTTCAACCATGAGTAAACCTCTCCCTGGACTGCACAGCCACATTTGCGGCTGCACAACATCTCATACCTCAGACCACTCATACTCCAAGAGTAGTGCACCACATTTGATGGATTTTAAAGTAGAAGGCAACCAATCTTAGAGGGAAATATATTTTTACAGATATATATATACACACACATATATATGTATATATATATATATGCACACAAAGCTCAGCCCTATATTAGTAGTCTCTTATAGAAGGGCTTGGATGAAATACAACAATCTTCACACACTCTCCTCTAAGAAAAGTTTTTGGAGCATTTTCAGTGATTTATTCATAACAAACCTTGCCAAATAAATTATTTTGATTCTGCTTTGGGGCAGATGTTGGGGTTCAGGATGGAAATATCCAAAATATGGTGATGGAAAGGTGTAACGGTGTTGGGATTGGTGTTCAAATATTAAATATAATCAAATATGTTAACTGTAGCACTGTATCACTGTATCACTGTCCTCCCGTTGTTAATTGATGTGCTCGAGTGGGCACCAATAATGTCTCCATTGTGAAAACTATTGTTCCTGTTTTTAGCATATCGAATACGCCATGAAGAGCTTTCCAGGCTCTGCTGTGTGGGGCGGGATACTCTCGGTAACTTTCTGGGCTCTCAGAAAGGGACGGAGCAATTGAACCTGGGTCGCCACGTGCAAGGCAAATGCCCTACCCTCTGTGCTATCACTCCAGTTACTTTATAAAAATAAAATAAAATAAAACACTGTCCACTGTCCTCCTGTTGTTCATTGATTTGCTCGAGCGGGCCCAGTAATGTCTCCATTGTGAGACTTCTTGTTACTGTGTTTGGCATATTGAATACTCTCGGTAGCTTGCTGGGCTCTCCGAGAGGGGCGGAGGAATCAAACCCAGCTCTGCTGGGCTGGCTGCGTGCAAGGCAAACGCCCTACCACTGTGTTTTAATTGAATGATTTCATTTATTTTGGTGCTCTGATCATTGAACCCAGAGTCTGACACATGTGAGATGTCCAATAAACATGGTGTCAACATTCCCAGATCCATGACTGCATTATTATCTTGGCTCCTCTCTTCTTTTACTCACAAGTAAAAGCCTTTATGATATGATTTCCATGGAAATTTTTGAGTTATTCTGTCTTATCCATAAATTTCAGTCACCTGTCACCTTCCCCAGGCAATCTTTTCTGACACTGACAAAGGATTAATTGCTCCTTGTGTAAGATCTCTGAGAATGGTTAATTTAATCATATAAGGGATATGAATAGTTCTCCAGTAAGCTTTTGGGGTCTGGTTCTATTTCTTATTCTTTGCTACCATTTGATTTGTATCACTCAGAACTTGCTTGGTTCAGAGCAATTTTCTCTAAGGATATGTGAATTGAATAAGAATTAAAATTCTTTGTTTTTCTCTTTCTCTTTCAGATAAATTATTGATTTCACTTTGAAAATGAGAATCTTAATTTCAACCAAACAACTAGAGCATGCAATGAATGATTGTATTTTCTTTGGGGTTTGTTTTAGCCAATGGTCAGTTACATCTGTAATTTCTGATGGCATTATATAAATTACTGCTACACAACTACTTTGTTGTCATTTTATTGCCATTCATCTCTAATGGCAACATTTTTGTAAGCAATGTATTCATTTTGTGGATAGAATGGTAAAATACAGTTACCAGGCTTTAGCGATAGTACAGCGGGTAGGGCGTTGTTTGCTTTGCATGAGGCTGACCTGGGTTTGGTCCCCAGCATCCATTATAGTCCTCCAAGCACCACCAGGAGTAATTCCTGAGTGCAAAGCCAGGAGTAACCCTGTGCATCGCTGGGTGTGACTCAAAAAACAAAAACAAAAAAAAAGTTACCTAGGAAGACAATGAAAATTTGTAAAATTATGTGAAATTATAAAAATACTTTTTCCTATTAAGGATTGAATGAGAGTGTCAAGACTGGAACACTGCTCAGTGGCATAGCCTTGCATGTGGGGGAAAGAGAGAGAGAGAGAGAGAGAGAGAGAGAGAGAGAGAGAGAGAGAGAGAGAGAGAGAGAGAGAACAAACTGGGTTTGCTGCATCTGCTGCCTGAGCCCATGTGCAGCTTGTGTCCATGTGGCCAAGCATATATGTTGCCTGAGCACATGTGTCACCCACGGCTCCCCTCTTGAGATGTGTACTGGGGCTCTCTCCATTTCTGGAGATGCCCGTGCTCTCTCTTGAGAGCATTGCTCTCTCTCCCTTTTCTCTCCCTCTTTTCCCTTCCTAAAAGTCTCTGCATATTTTTTTTACTTCACTGCTTGTCTCTGCCTGAAGTTCTTTTCTGTGAGATAGGACAAAGACCTTGAAGTCCTGAATAAGGCTTAGGACTGACTTTTCTTTCCTGCAAAGTGTTAATTCCTCGCTCCAGTCTGAGTCCGTGACTCTCAGAGAAACCCAGTAGTGGGGATTAACTCCCATGCCTAGAGGTCAAACAAAAGTCAGATGTTGCTTGATGACCATCTTGTGGGGCTGATGGGACTCAAGGTCCGCAAGTGAAGGGGTTCATCACAGATTTTATCGGTCCCAACTTTCTCAGCTGGTCCCAGGGGAGCAGAGGTGGATCAATAAAGAGTGACCATCTCTCTCCTCTCTGCCTCACATAAGCTACCCATGGGGGCCTACTTTATTCTTGGTGAGCCAGCCAGGAGATTGCAGTGAAGAACCCCACGAGGAAAGAGGTAACCTGTGAAAATCTGCTGTGGAGGTATGCTCCCTTTGAACACTCTAAAAGGGGATGGGAGCGGACTGTAATGACCTCTAAGTGAATGTGTGTGTGCATAGACCCTCATTTTGGCATGATTCTGTAATCCTGACCATTATGGGAGAGACAGGAATAAGCCCACTAGCGAAAAGATCCTGGGAAACTCAGGCAGGGAACTAGAGGCAAAGAGGTTTAACTCTAGATGGTTTAAGAAAGAAAAAAAAAAGGAAAAGGAAAAGGAAAAGCCCAGTAAAAGACACAGCAAGCCAGCAAGCCAGTGGAAAAGATACAGCAGGGCAGAATTTTTTCCCTCTTCTTTCAATTTGTGGCAAGTTTTCTTAAAAGCCACACCCAGAATAGGTGAAGCTCCACAAATAAGCTGAGATTGTGTGTTGAAAGTCAGATATCTACCCAAGGATGCTTGGAGGTAGATACAAAGATCACTGTGGAGACATTCAATTGGATGATTCTCTGTCAATCTGAGATACGGGGGTGGCATCCTCTCCCACAGCTTTCAGAAGACTCTATGCCAGGGTATGGGAGAGCATCCTCTCTGGCAGCTACTAAAGACTCTACACCAGGGTTTTGGGAGGGCATCTCCTTCAGCTATTTTGCTAGTTTGGGAGGGTGTTTCTTCCAGAAGAATTAAGGGATTAAAGGTTCCTTCACCATAGAAATGAGTCACATTGGAAAGGCTAATGTAGGAAGGGGTCAGATCCTCTTGGGAGAAATTAGAGACCTGGAGAAAATATTTGCCAAGGAACCATCATGGGTTATTGGCACAGCGGGTAGGGCATTCGCCTTACAAGCGGCCAACATGGCCGACCCGAGTTCGATTCCTCCGCCCCTCTCGGAGAGCCCGGCAAGCTACCGAGAGTATTCGATATGCCAAACACAGTAACAACAAAGTCTCCAATGGAGACGTTACTGGGCCCGCTCGAGCAAATCGACGATCAACGGGAGGGCCTTTACCTTTACCTTTATTAGTGAGACACCATGAGGCACAGTTGTAGACTTACAAATTTTTGTGCTTGGGTTTCAATTATACAATGATCAAATACCCATCCCTCCACCAGTGCCCATTTTTTACCACCACGGATCCCAGTATCCCTCCCACCCACCCCCCATTCCCCCATCCCACCCTGCCTCTGTGGCAGGGCATTCCCTTTTGTTCTCTCTCTCCTTTTGGGTGTTGTGGTTTGCAAAAGAGGCATTGAGTGGCAATCATGTTTGGTCTATAGTCTACTTTCAGCATGCTTCTCCCAACACCCTTTATTTGGTGCTCCTTTCTCTATCTGAGCTCCCTTTTCCCCTAGCATGTGTGTCTGGCCTCCAAGCCATGGAGCAAAATTCCTGGTACTAATCTCGGCCATTGTTGGGTGTTAGTCTCCTGTTTTGTTACTTTATGGAACCATCATGTTTAAAGAAGTGTCTTATCAACCTTTGTAATGTCACATGTCCTATGTATAAACTAGAGCACAGGGAAAGATGGCCAGAAATTGGCAGCCTGTGTTATTATACTTTCATGCAGTTAGACATATTTTTGTGAAAGCACCTGGGTTTGCTGGCACCACAATCTACGACAACAGAAGTCTCTATTTGACAGTCACTTCTAACTCAGCAAATTCACAAAAGATAGCCTCACCCTTGTTAGAGCTACAAATCTCTTCTCATTTCCTAACATAAAGAGGAACTAGGTACCAAAAGAGGGAACTGATTATGAATTTTAGAAATACTCAGCTCAGTGTTTGAGCTCAGAAAAACTGACACGAGAGAAATGCAGATTTACACTGGGTGAGGTTTGAAGTTCGAGGAATTCAAACTTATTGATTGCACCTGAACTGAAGCCACTTTCTCAGTCTTGACACTCAGCAGACATCGCAGGCTTGAAAAAAAAAAGGTAGGCCCAGGGAAGTATTTTCCTAAGCTTTGTGTAGGATGAATTTTCCATTCATTGATAGTGGGATCCCTATGGTGGAATAAATGGGAAATCTACCTTTCATTAGACAAAACTGTTCCTGATTAAGGTGCATCCGATATGTTTGGGAAAGAAGCAATCATTTCTGCAGAGAGTAGCTTCTAAAGGTTCATAGAAGATTATGTATCTTGAATTATTTTAGTCATATTTATTTCTAATTTTTCAGGATCTCAGAAACTTAAACCATTACCCTACCCTTAAAAAACATATGATGAATTGTTTCATTGCTCTTTATGTTCTTTTTCTCATATTTATTTTCTATCTCTGACCTGTTATTTTTAGACATCAACATTTAAGATAAATCTGATGAAGAAGTGGGAAAAAGATGTTTTAGGGCAAAGATAGGCTTTTCATATAAACCTTGAGACACATGTGGCCTGTCCTAGCTCTCTATCATAGGAACCATTAGTGAGCTTAAGGTGAATCTAAACTTCTTGTGAAGAAGTCTTCTAATAGAAGAGATTTCAAATATTTTCAGCATTGCTGAGAGCAGCAGAAAGAAGCTTAAAGGTAATGGTGTCCAGTGCAATCCAGAGAAGGTAAATAACTTACCAGAGTTTGCTGACAGAATAAAAGAACTAAGAGGAGATTCCAGTTTTCAGTCTAGGTCTTATCCTCATAGGTCATGTTCTCTATAATGCCATCTTCTCCACCAGCAAACCCTAGGAGTCATTTTAAGACTATTATGTTTTGCATCCATGTCAAAGTGAGAGGAATAATCCTTTTCAGACCACCCTCTTCATGTTTCTTTGTGGTAACTATGATGGGATGAGGATGTGGGGGGAACAAGGTAAAGGTAAAAGGTAAAGGCCCTCCCGTTGATCGTCGATTTGCTCGAGCGGGCCCAGTACCGTCTCCATTGGAGACTTTGTTGTTACTGTGTTTGGCATATCGAATACTCTCGGTAGCTTGCCGGGCTCTCCGAGAGGGGCGGAGGAATCGAACTCGGGTTGGCCATGTTGGCCGCTTGTAAGGCGAACGCCCTACCCGCTGTCCTATCGCTCCAACCAGTGGGCGGGGGGGGGGGGGGGGACAAAACAAGTTAAAAAATAGTAGTTTTGTACAACAGATCAGTGAGTAGAAGAAAAAAAAATTCTCTTTTATTCACCTTTGTAACAGAAAGCAATAGTGAAACGACAGGAAGAAATGTCTATAATTTTCTCTGGTGTTTGGGTTTCCCTGATATTTGAATGGTTGAACCTGGGAGAGGAAACATAAGCTTTTGTCTCTAGGGAATTTATCTTCTCTCATTTATACATGAATGTCTGTAGTTTGATTTCCAGGTACGATCACGTGAATTTTTAGCTAGAGTTCTCTCGAGGGACAAAGCAGCAGCCTTTAGTGACTAGGATCTGGTGATAATATCATAGGACTATGCACTGACCATTAGAACCAATTGAAAATGTTATGTTCATGTAGTATCTCTGCTCCTTGTAGATTCACATTCTTATTCAATACTGAGGAATAATCACCAAAGATGGTTGAAAATACAGAAACTCTCTCTCCTAAATATTTAGCCTGGTTTTTTTTGTATGTGAAATGTCAATGCAGAGATTCCTTCGCATTAAGGAGAAACTAACTGAAGCACATATTTTATTGGACTAATAACAATCATCAGTTAATTATTTTAATAACATTTTTGGCTTCTATGATGCAAGATGAAAATAATGGATGTTTATAAAAATGCTTTTTACCATTATTGTTTAAGTAAGCAGGAATGGGGAGCTGCTTCTGAGAGAGATCAAACTTTGGTCAAGAACAAATTCTGAGGTCATTTGTTGCAGAATATGGAAGGGGTGGAACATTCCTGACATGGGGTCAACATAGGTAAATGCTCTCATATAGAAATGAAACTGTTGACTTGGAAATACAGAAATAAATTTTAAAAAGCATTGATCACTCCAAAATAAAAAAGAAGAGAGTCAAAATAAGGTTAAAACTGTATATGTGGGCTGAAGTAACAGAATCCATTTTGATTTTATATTCCAGCAAGAACGATGAAATGCCATAGGTAGACTGTAAAGATAGAAAGGGCACAATAATGTTTTTTCTCTCAACATTATCATTTTAGCTACAAAGGGGGGAATGAACTGGATTGAACTGGATTTAAAGGATTATAAATGGGTGCAGGAGAATATCAAATGGCTATGAAGCATTCTTGATCAGTTTCTGCTCAGTTGGACCAAATAGGTGAGAGAGAAAGAGAGTTTCCAGAGTTGAAAAGTGGTTGAGTAGAATCAGAAAAAAAAATATATTTACTAAATCTGAATTCAATTAGGATAGATAGACTCAGGGACAAGCTAAAGGCTGTTAAACATGAATAACTGAACTAATAATGGCGCCTTCCTCTGCAAAAGAAACTACCTGGAATCCCCTAGTTTGACTATGGTTCCTTTTACCCTTAGATCTTGTCACTGAGTATTTGGATAATTTTAAGGCTATAGATTCATGCATTATAAATGCACTTTGTTGCATCATATTAATTTTTTAAAAGAAAATTGTCAAGATAAAAGTAGCTTCTGTTTATGCCGAAATGAAAAAGTAAATGAAACAGTTCTCTCTTAAACAAGATGGAAATGAACATTACTATGAAATTTATTTACAGTAATCTTTCTCAGTGAAGCTCAGTAAAAAGATTTCCCAAAGTAAAATATGAATTAGAAGACTTACATTACATTTAAAAACCAGAAGGAATATTTCAATGTTCTTTTCTCTAAAGCAAGTCCTTGCATTCTCCTGAGAGGACGCTCCAAGTTTCAAAGTCTGAATACACATAATAGTTAGCTTGTTAGGTTTAGTTCATTTATTTATTTTGGTTTAGGGACCACATCTGGCAATGCTCAGGGTTTAGTTCTTAGCACTGGTGTGGCCCAAAAACCAAAATACTACTAATAAATTAATAATAACATAACCATAATTATTATTATGATGAAACAAAGGAAAGGGGAATTATGATTATGCTTTATATATTAGATTTATGTTTTCTTTTATTATTTTATTATGTTTTCTTTTATCATTTTATATTTTCATTATTTCATTTTAAATGGACTAAATAATGAATTATAGTTTTTCCTCAAATATTTAACAAATTTCTAATCTAATGACACCAATTGTCTCTCATCCTTTTGATCAGAAATCACAAAGGAAAAAAGACTTTTTCAAGACTTCCTCATCACAGAACTGAGAGTCAGACTTGGGGGATTTGAATCTTAGGGCTCAGGAACTCAAGAGTCTACTTTGACTTCCTTCCTTCTTTTGGTTTTTTTTTTCCTTTGCTCTGATATTGGGCCAAGAAAATATTGCCATCTGTTGTGTATCCCAGGCCATTTTAAGGGGAATCACTTTTCAGGCTGTTGAATTATTATGAAAAATTCAAATCGATGCATAGGGTTGGAGAAACCTTGTCCTCTTTGGAATTTAAATCCATAATTAAAACAGTCCAAAGAGAAGGAATTTCACTGTCACTGTCACTGTCCTCCTGTTGTTCATCGAGTTGCTGGAGCGGGCCCAGTAATGTCTTCAGTGTGACACTTGTTACTGTGTTTGGCATGCTTTACCGTGCAGGTGACATACTCTCGGTAGCTTGCCAGGCTCTGCGAGAGGGGTGGAAGAATCGAACCTGGCTTGGCCAGGCCAGACGCATGCAAGGCAAATGCCCTACCACTGAGCTATTGCTCCAGCCCAAGGAGGAAGAATTTAAAATTTCTTTTCCTTGACAAGAATCTACTTCTCCATTTAAGAGAAGATATAAATTAGAGATAAACAAAAGACTTAATAGAACTCTGGACAAGTCTAGGCTAACACAAGATATATTCAACAAATGTTAAGTTCCTTTGCTAATTTTCTTGACAATCATGTTGCCTTATACCTTGCATCAAAGGAAGAGATTAGTTCTATGAGACTCCTCTTGGGACATGAATCAACATCCTCTTTCATGTAGATTTATTTATTTTAAATTTATTTATTTATTTTGAATACCCATCCCTCCACCAGTGACTATTTGCCACCACCATGGATCCAAGTATCCCTCCCACCCCCCACTACCCCCATCCCACTCTGCCTCTGTGGCAGGGCATTCCCTTTTGTTCTCTCTCTCCTATTGGGTGTTGTGGTTTGTATAAGAGTTAAGCCTGATTTTCAGGGAGAAACGTTGGATGATTTACTTTCCATTGAACACTTTGTATATAGGGAGATGTCGCGCGGCCGCATAAGTGGCCGCGTGTTTTGGAGTAAAGGTCCTGGTTCCCACATACTCGAGCTATGCTTGTAGAGGTTCATGGTCACCGGGGTTCCATCTGGAGGAGGCGGGATGCGGCACCTACCCCATCTGGGACTTCCCGGTAGAAGTTACTGATCAATTTGTACTATCCAAATGCTTTCTAGGACATCCAAATTCCCCATCCTACTGGTTCATCTGATTGAATTTCAATTTTTTAAAAATTTTCAATTGTTTAATAAATAACCTAGATGCCCCACTAAATTCAGGACTCTTAAGGAGGAGTTACTATTACTCTAGTTAAATTTAGAGGAGTTAACTATTACAACTCAAGTACTGAGTCTCATTTCACACTATCTTAGGTTGCTTGAGTAGGTGCGTTAATCAAACCCTGAACCTCATTATAAATTTGAGATGCAAATGACTGTGTTCTGTTACTATTTTAGCATCTATCCTTCAAAGAGGACAGGGATAGGGTTTTCTTGTGAGTACATAGAATAGAATAGATTAGAATATTCAAGTGAGTATGCATAATCGTGGTTGAGATAAAAGCTGAGTGCAGATCTGAATTCATTCTCTAATCTGAGAGCCCCCCCCAAATGTTATTTACCACTTTCACCTCAATTCCATCAATATTTAACTCTGCAATCATTCTTAGAATTTTAAAGTCATATGGCATTTATAAAGATGTTCTGATAGCTGTAATGCAGAGAGGATCAGAATGATGCAGATTGAGGCTATCCTGTCATTCCCATAATCTTGTGCTAAATTGCATTTCTATTGTAGCCCCTCCTTAGCTGCCATGACAACGATGAACGGAATGGAACAGACCATATCAATACCTGGTCCTGGAATGTCCTTCCCAGTACCTTCCCAGCCAGGGAAGTCTGCTACTCTACATTCATATTTGTGGAAAGGGATGCCAGAGAAATTCTTAAAGGGAGAGCCAAAAATCCTTGGGGTAAGTTATGGATCTGGGTAAAGAGCAGTGGTTTTGTGAACTCTTAACTACTCACACCTAATTCCTACTTAGCTCTCTGCCAGCCTCACACTATTTTAGTCTATGGTTCTGAACTTGATGGTCAGCCTTGATTTCTTAAAATGTGATATCTTAGTATGCTGAATAATGCTCCTAACTTTATTGGATTTAAAAAGTGACTAAGTTCCACTGTAGTGTTGTGGACCTTGCCTAGAAACTGAATTTCATATTAGCAGGAAGAGTACAAAGGAAATAGTTGCACGTGTCTTAGGTCTATACCCACCAGATATTGCTAGCGGTCTATGCTCCTATATTGTTTCTTCCTGTCTTCAAAATCTTCGCATCTACTCTTCAGAGGGTGAAAATTCTTCTGCTACCTGCTCTGTCTGTGTTTCAGGAGGCTATCCCTAAAGAAAGGGACGATTTAAAGAAAGACAAGGTAGTTCAGGTAAAAACAGTGGATAGAGTTTATCTTTATCCTAAGATTGAAAGCAGTGAGTCTAAGTCATAGCAATATGATATAACTTCCTCATTACTTCTGGATCATTTAATTCAGTTCCTCAGTTTTTACACCCAGCAGTCATGTTTGCTGTACACAGACCTCATTAGAATGTCACAGTACTCTTCTCTTTTCTTCTAGATATATTTTAATTTGCAAAACTTCTTTTTAAAATCAGCTCTTTTTAAATTACAGATTCCATTTTTCTGAACACTAGTGAAATGGAACAATAGTTGTGAAAGGAGCTGAGTATTATTTACAGAGCTCTGCTGGGAAGTTTTGGTACATTGTTTTTAATGCCTGGAAATAATTGAAGCCATATATAGATATGCTAGAAGATGTTTTTATTAATATAGTATTGGACATTTCTTTACATAAATAAATCTTACACAAGCCTATGAAGAAGGTTCTCCAAAGAAGAAATGAACAATAACTGCACAGAAGAATGGACTGGTGTAGGCATCATTTTTTGCAGTGTATAATAATTCTTTACCATTTCTAGGTTGTACAGATCCTTATTGCCCTGGCAAATCTCAGCTTTGGAATAATAATGATGTGTACCACATTTCCTTTTAATGAACCGGTTCCCTTTATAGCATACACTGGGTATACGATTTGGGGGTCTGTGAAGGTAAGCAGAATTCTTTCTAATATAGTTAGAAATAACAAGACCGTGTCATTTATCTCCTGAACTTGGGTGTCACATCTCAGTCCTACATTGTGGTTTAACATTTGAAAATAGTTAGGGAACCCACTTGTAACTCAGTTTTCTCCAATTTATTAATAATATATAATTTTTAAAAAACACAGAAAGTTATGCAGACTTCACATATAATGTGTGTCAATTTCAGAATATTATAGAATTATAAAGCAAAAGACGTAAAACAGAATGGATTAAATATGAAAGAACTGGTTATTTTCCCAAGAATTCTAGTGGCTATGCATTTAGTTCATTGACAAGGAAGTCACAGAGGACAGCTGACATACATGTCAGATTTGTTGAAGATGATTGTTTGTTCATTGTTATTTATATGCACAAACATTTTCATGTCTCTAAGCAGATCTGAGCAAAGGCAATGGTTGTGCCATTGTTGATTTTGTGTCATGAGGTTTCACCTCTAGAGTTGGGAAGGGTTCACTGAATCTCAGGGGAAACTAAATTAAATACTCAGAAAAGAAGAGAAGATATAGTTGGTATAAAGGCAAGTTATACTGTTTAGTCAATCCACTATCAAGACAAGAGCAAATAAATAGTATTCTAATAGATTTTCTCTTATAAATTGTATCAAAATAATTGTAATTAAATTAAAATTTAAGAAGGTTTTTAGATCTCCTAGCACAGAATTCTGGAGGGTTTCTCTGCAAGTTGAAAGTATAAATTAAATATGAAGTATTGTGTTATTTACTGATGAGGAAAATTGTTCTAGCATCTTGTGGTTTCCAACTATCAACATTTGAGAATAAAGTACTTTAAAGTCTTATTGGATTTTATTTTTATTACATTTCCTCATGTTTTACCATTTAGACGATTATAAAGACTTCTAGACTAAAAGGTATTTAGTCTAAAAAACACCTATGCTATTAAAAAAATTAGACTTGATAGTCTACAAATTTTGTCAATGTTACAGAGGGTACAGTAACAAAATTTATTTAGAACTATAAACTTGTGGTTAAGTCATAAGTTTTGATTAAAAGTGATTAATTTGGAAGAGTATTAATGTTGAATTTTATTAAATGTCTTCTCAAATTAAAAACATAATATTCATTAATATTCATCAATATAAACAAATTTATGAATATTAATGTAAATATAAATAAACTATCTCAGATTTATTAGTTTTATGAGTTACAATAATTTCAAATTTAAAAATCTGTACAATTAAAGAAATACCAATATATCTATGATGGATTTTTTTTATTGTAAGATGGATAATTCTCTGCTATTTTTTCCCCGAGGTTATTTTACATCTGTTTATCTTTTCTGTACCTTCTGACGTTTGTTGAAGATCATACTACTTCATTGGATTAGTCTTTTTTTCTTCTTACATTAAGATGCAATATCTAAAATTTAATGTACAGGGATTAAGGCATCTGCCTTGTACAAGGCTTATGCTGATTCAATCCCCAGCACTGTGTATGGTCACCTGAGCACCACCAGGAGTCACCCTTCAGCACAAAGCAAGTAGTTGGCTTGAGCACTGTCCAGTATGTCTCCCCAAACCCAACATAATTAAATAGCACTGTAGCACTGTCCTCCTGTTGTTCATTGATTTGCTCGAGCGGGCCCAGTAATGTCTCCATTGAGAGACTTGTTGTTACTGTGTTTGGCATATGGAATACAGGCTTTGCCATGCGGGCGAGATACTCTTGGTAGCTTGCCAGGCTCTCTGAGAGGGGTGGAGGAATCAAACTGGGTCAGCTGGGTCGGCCAGGTCTGCAGCGTGCAAGGCAAATACCCTACCCACTGGCCTATTGCTTATTTTTAAAAATTACTTAGTTTTTTAAAATAAAAGGAAAATTGGAAACCCAACACAAAAACCCCATTAGTTTAGGACCATGAGTCCACTCAACCTCATTCTAGCTATTTGAGCTGAATGGAAAATAATTTCCCAGTTGATGGAACCAAATTGGAAGAATAACCTAATGATGATCTACTATGGAATTTAAAAGTTGCCTGATACTATTTTAGTTGTAACATTTGATAATCAGTTAAATAAAATAGTATTTATTTTTTTGATTGCCTTATTAATCTTGACACTCGTTAATCTTGATTTATATCAGGAAGTTGGATACTTTTTAATTATTTCATGATCTTCAAGCAGTTTAAATTTCATCACATCTGATGCTTCTACATAGCTTCATAAATTCCCTGAAGCCATCTATAATGATTTCTCCATTCTGGGGGAAAGTCTTAATTACTTACAAAAATTTATGTTTCTTCAAATATAGTCTCTTACAGACATTTATTAATTTTGAGGTAAAGTATAGTTATGACTTCAATTATTTGGTAAAAATTTTTTACCTGAACTTTTTTCTTGCTACCAGTTCATTATTTCAGGATCTTTGTCAATTGCAACAGCAAAGAGAACTACAAAAGGACTGGTGAGTAACAGTTCTTGTTTGTTGGCATAGTTGTTCTAGAAGAATTTTATTATATTAGAATTATATTAGAATAGAAAGCATAAAATTGCTTTTTAAAAATCCTAAGAGATTAGTTTAAGTCACGGTCACGGTCCTCCCGTTGTTCATCAATTTGCTCGAGCGGGGACAGTAACATCTCCATCATGAGAATTGTTACTGTATTTGGCATATCGAATACGTCATGGGTAGCTTGCCAGGCTCTGCTGTGTGGGTGAGATACTCTCGGTAGCTTGCCGGGCTCTCCGAGAGGGGCGGAGGAATCGAACTCAGGTTGGCCATGTTGGCCGCTTGTAAGGCAAACGCCCTACCGCTGTGCTATCGCTCCAGCCCTTAAACTAAGAGATTATTTTAAGTAATTCAAATATTATAATATAGATGGTAGAAAGTAGAATTCCTACTGGGAGAATGAACAGTTTGGGTGAGAGTTGTAGAGACTATAAAAAATTCAGAAATTCTTAAGAAAAATCCAAGATAGGAGTCAAATTAAGTTGCAGCATGATCACAGCCTATAGCACAGACTTTTGGTATGGCATATAATGTTTTGACTTATTAATAGAAAACATATCCCAACTATATGCAAAGGAAATTTTGATTCCACTTGCAATTGAAATAAATTCACAATAAGGTCACTAAATGAAAAGAAATAAAGAATAAGCCTCAGACAATATGTCTTTTACAAAGCCAATTAAAAGTAAAAGTACAGAACACCAGTTAAAAGTAAAAGTACAGAACAACAGATTTTTTTCTTAGATAAAAATATTTGTGTTTTCCGCTCTCAAAGGATAAATATCAATGAGTGATTGTCAATATGAATCTGAATATCTCTTCAATCTGCCTCCCTCTCATCTCCTGCAAAATCTGTCTCATGCTACAGCTCTTAAACCTCACACCTCCTGTGGAATTTCAGTTCATGTAAAAGGCATTCAAAACTTCACTAGAAGCAGAGCGTGTGAGGAAAAGGAATACAAAACACAAGGAAATGAGATGTAGAAATGGAGGTCTAACTCTCATGGAGGTGTGAGAGTTAGACTTAATGTAGAAAATCATTGAAGGTTAAACATCTGAAACAGACCATGCTAAGAAATGGACCCACTTGGGATTACACGTCTGGCAAGCCTTCTGAGGAGATTGGAGTTTACCCCAAAGACTTACCTGTGGAAGTCAGAGGGTCATATTTTAGGTTAGTCAAGTGTTTTGAAATGAAACACTATGAAGCAAGAAGCAAGTTAAGAAATTGATATAGAAATCCCTCTAGGCTTATTACTAAAGTATCAGAAATCCAAATTTGCGTGGCCACTATTGTGGCCACGCAACATCAAATGCTTTTCATAATCAGCAATAGAAAACAAATTATCTAATGATGTCTTTTTGGCAGGTCTGAATGTTGGGGAAAATTCCAAATAATAATGTTGGGTCTTTTGTTGTAATATTGAATGTGATCAACGGAGAGAGAGAGAGTAAAGTGGAAATCTGCCACATGGGTGGGGTGTGTGGGGGAGGGGTTGGTTACTGGGGTTCTTGGTGGTGGAAAATGTGCACTGGTGAAGGGACGGGTGTTTGATCATTGTATGACTGACCGAGACTTAAAGTGAAAGGCTTTGTTACTGTTTTCACGGTGATTCAATAAATAAATTAAAAAAAAGAGAAAGATTGAGATAGAGAGAATGGACCTTGGTGAGCAAGAAGTGTTGGGCATAAGGTAGAAACAACTAAGGATGCTGTTGGATTGTATAATTGATTTTCATTCCTTTCTAGGTCCGAGGTAGCCTAGGAGTGAACATCATTAGCTCTGTCTTGGCTGGAATAGGGATCATACTGAGTGCAATCAGCTTGAGTGCTTTTCCATTCCATTATCGTTACTGTCACTATTTTAACGCGTTAGACAATTGTTCCATGGTAGCATTTATTTTAATGGTAAGTACTTCCTCTAATCATGGAATACTGGAGGCAAGTCCTGAGAGTCTTGATTCTGATAAAAAGTAACAAGCAGTATATCCTAATTAGTGAAACACTTCAGGAATTTGGATATGATTGAGAAATGAGACAACATGCTATTGATGAGTTGGACACAGATTTTATTATATCCTCTGAACCTTCTCTATGTTGTTGAAAAATTGATAATAATGCTCATAGCTATATAACATATAGTCTATAATAGTATTTTAAGCATTTTGCATATATTTTCTATTAATTTTAAAGCACCTATATGTATGCAACATTAACCTATATAAATGTCAGTCTTCTTGCATCCCAAACGTCCTGATGGGGACTGATAGTCCCTTGATTCTCTAATAATCAAATTAATTTATTTTGAAATATTACTGACAAGCGGTAAATAATCCAGTATCTCCCTAATCATCTCTAGATGTTCTTACAAGACAAACCACATTTAACCTCAACATCTCCGTTCTGGCAATTTCTCAACCTCTGTTCTGCATTTGTTACTTTTTCTGCATCACATTCCCTTCTCTAGGTGTTATTTAATGATTTTATTTTTCAAATTCCATGTTTACCAAAATCATAGGTAATAAAACTTTTGGACGTTTAGACCATTGGTCAAGGAATGAGAAAGTTTCTGTAACACAGCATAGACAACTGACATTCAATTAAATCTTTATAATGAACATGCCATTACCTATTTTGACATCACTGAGTTTTCTGTTATTTCCCTTCCATATGAGTCACCGGATTATCACAATACTGTTTACTTTTTTCTCATTGTCTCCTTATCTCACCTGAATTGGAAACTTAATGTCCTTCCTATTTTATTATTAAGAATGGTTATTATCTTTTCTTTATTCCTAGACCTTCATAGATGAAATTAAGTATCACTCTCACTGTCCTCCCGTTGTTCATCGGTTTTGCTCGAGCGGGCCCAGTAACGTCTCCATTGTGACACTAGTCACTGTGTTTGGCATATCAAATATGTCACGGGCAGCTTGCCAGGCATTGCTGTGTGGGCAAGATACACTCTGTAGCTTGCCAGGCTCTCCGAGAAGGGTATCGAACCTGGGTCGGCTGGGTCAGCCTGTTTAAGTGACTTTCCTAAACTACTTTACTCCCTTTGATATTTCTATAGGGTATGGACATCTTTGATCCATTATTTTGCCTACAGCTATTTTGAGTTTTATGTTTATTTACCATTTGTTTACAATTCAAAATATTTGTGAAGTACAGCTTCATACCCCACCAATACAAAGTTCTAGTGCCATTCACCATCATCAGATTTAAGTCTCTTTAGCCATTATTCCCAACCATTTCATATTCCTCTCTGTTAACCACCATGCTTTTACCAGTTTGAGTTCATTTTGTGGTGTTTCATATTGTTTAATATATTTCATACGTGCATATGATTATTCTTTGCATCTATGCTTTTTTAACATAGTAAAATCACTTCAAGTTCAATTCATACTGCTCAATGGCAAAGATTCCTCTTTTATAGGAGCTGACTCATAGTCCACTGGATATAGGTACCACAGCATCATTACCTATTCATGGAAATACTTTTATTTTTTATCTACTGTGATTAGTGTCGCAGTAAAAATAAATTCATATATACTCCCCAAATAATTTTATACTCTTTGGATTAATACCTAATATTTAAATTGCTGGATCATATGCTATTACTTTTCTAAATACTTTTAGGACATATTGTTTTTTGTTGGATCAGTTTATATTACACCAATGTTACATTTAAGCTATCAGTTTGTTTACATTTACTCAACTCAATACTTAATACTTGTTTCAACTCTTTTTCGGCAGAAGAGATTCTCACATATATGAAGTGAAACTTCATTGTGGTTTTTAATTTGCACTTCCATAATGTTTGACATTTTTCTTTGTCCCTATGAGCCATTTGTTTGTATTCTTTGGAGAAGTCTTTATTCAGATTTTCTGTCCCATTTTTACTGGGTTATTTGGTTTTGGTTGTGCTTTATGAGGTTTTTTTTTTATATAGTTTGGATAAAACCCCTTCTTGGATATGAGATAGACAATTACACCAATTTGTAGTTACCTTTTTGATTTTGAAGTTTCTTATCTCACAGCACAGTTATGATCTCATTATAATTACTAGGTATGAGATCATACTATTATTTCAACTACACAAGAGCGCCAATATTTGAAAGGAATTTGTTGAGACTGTCTTTTTTATTTCATCCTTTTAATAGAATTTTCACATTCCGTAATTACAACATAACTGGGATGGAAAATATGAGGGCAATGATTGTTTTGTTAGAGAAAAAGATGAGAAGTGGAGGATAAATCACATTCAGCAAGTATATGGTGTGTGGTCAGGTCATATTGAAAGCAATTAAAAGTCAATTTTTCTGATATATGACCAATGTTTTTTTCTTTTTAGAGTTGCAATAAGTGATCGGTGTTTTGAACTTGTCATCTCCAATCCTAATATTTCTTTCTATGAATTTGTTCAAGGGACTAGATGCAGTAGTGCTCATCTTAAGTGTGCTGGAATTCTGTATTGCGATATCCCTCTCAGCCTTTGGGTGCAAAGTAATCTGTTGTAATCCTGCTGGAGTGAGTATTGGTATCCTTTGGGGATGTTAATATTTATTTCCTATTCATGTAAAATATTGTATAAATTCATGGGCTAGAATAAAACACATTTATTATCACCTAGATTCAGTGGGTGAAAAGCCTGAGCATCAATACAAACAATGTGACTCTAAGTAATCATTCATATGTACTTTGCCGAGCTTAATTCCCAGCAGTTAATGCATACACTTACACCAGCACCTTCCAGAGTAGTCCTCGTGTCTCCTGTGCATTTTCAGAGTGGCCCCCACAACAACTAACTAAAACAGAGAGTCAGTTAGTTTGGTCAGTTGTCAACTCACACGAGTGACATCACGTTATACACACAGGTTCCACCTACACTCAAGGGAAAGATTCACACAAGGCCATGGATCACCAGTATAGTCTTAGAATCCTGCCCACCAAAGGCGATAAAAGCTGATTTTCCCCATTCTTAACACTCCCTCAAAGTTTCTCCCTTCCCAGTGCAGATCTGGGAAAATTCGCAATGGGAAAGTCTCCATAAAGTCAGATTTCAGACATTTTAGCTAATATAGTAGCTTTCCCTAGGATACAGAAGTCAGTATTTAACTTAGCTATCAGTTCTCTTATCCTAAGATCTATAATGGTTCTCCCTAATTGCTAAGCAGATGGAATATTACATAGTAACTCAAGGATCAGAAAATGGAAGGGGAGAAAACCAAACAAGTCACTATGAAGAATAATGCAAATATTTTTCAAGATCCAGGGTAGACAAATCCCAAAACCAAATTATAGAATAATCATATGAGGTTAATTGGTGCTTGTTGCCATATATGTGTGCCTACTTTGGTTTGTGTGTGGGGGGAGACATATGCATTGTTTTACCCTTTTACAGCCCTTATCCCCAAAAGAGACAGAGCAATTCCATGGAAATTCCCAATGAGTTTGTAATTTCATTAAGGGAAGCATTTAAATTTTATTAAGTAAAGCATTTGGTCACGGATCTAAGTTCTCCTTAATAACTGTCATAGCATAGTATAGGGTTTGTCTATCCTTCTGCTGCAAGAGTAGTTACAGAGTTGGGAAATCTCACTAAAGTTGATTCCACTAATCCCACTGCTCAGAGTTGCAAAGTATCAATACAAAAGGGCACTGATTTTAAGGCATATAATGCCAAAGTCTTTTTCTCCAGGGTTCTCCCAAATTTCTTCTTTATCTGATCATGTCACATCCTGTGAACGAAGAGATAAGTCACAATTCTATAGTTTCCCAATGACTCCTTCCTATCATTCTGAGTCAGTGTGGGTTTTGAAATGTCTTAGTCATGTCTTAGTCAGCAAACCATGATTTGAGCAAGTTATTGCCATCAGCAATCAACTTTATTTTGTAGAAGAGCCTATATTTTCTACAGAACTAAGTTTACCCAGTTGCTGGGGTCCATCATCAATCTTAAAATCAACTTACTGAAAAGACAACAACTGTCAGTAACTCATCTAGCTCAGACTTGATCCAGAGAATGCCTGAGTAATAATGTTAAATTTAGCTTGAGACAGAATTCAAAGAAAACTTGATTCTGCAAATGATGGCATTCTGTGAACAAGGGAAATACTAGGAATAATTGATTTAATCACCATTTATGTTTTTCTGATTGATCTCATAGGTTGTATTCATTATGCCATCAAATTCCCACACGGCAGAAATAGTATCTACTGAACAGATCACAGGCAACTTGATGCCAGCAACGGATCAACAGAAGAATGTTCCAGAAGAGTTATGCTGATAATTGTGTTTAAACCCCACTTGAAAGCATATATAATTTAAATCATGTTCCTTTTATCCTGCTTCACAAGAACTCATCAACTCGTTTCATTGGCATTTCATCAACAATAGTAAAAGTTAAATAAATTATTTCATGAATCAGTGGTGCTTTGAAAGTTTTTCATGCATCTTTAGAACCTGATATAATGATACTAAGATGGTAAATATTTGAAAAAGGGTAAGAGGCATTGTTCCATTCAAATTTCCCTGAAAAGTACATATTTCTACTTCTCAGGACATTTTCCAACACTACAGCTTTCTTTCCATAACTTGGAAATATAAAATATTTCTATGTTGAAAATCACGGCTTCCTCCACTATTCTCTACTGCTATGTAATATTGATTTTTGATGTTTCTGGCTAAAATATTGTGTGTGCATGGTTTGGGGGTCACACCCAGTGGTACTAGGTATATTGCTCTTTGTGATACTCAGGGGACCATGTTGTGTTGGAAACAGAACCTGGGTCTCCTGTATACAAAACATGCTTTCATGCTAAAATTTAAAATTACTTTAAAGAATTTTTTGTTACATGTATGACTTTTATAGGCGTTCTAATTTTTAATTTCTCATCCCTAGAAAATATCTTATTTATATCTTCATCCATTAAAATATCTTCCTTAGAATTCCATTTCATGCTTTACAGTTACGCATCTGCAATTTATTGCTGATGGTATTGCTGAATTGTGTCAATCACTAAACAGCCTCACTGTGGTGTCACTAGAGCCATTCTCAGCATTTATAGAGCTGGTTGGTGTTGGTTGAGACTTCCATGCTATTATTTTCGTGCTTTCAACTTAATGGGCTTCTGTGAGTTTTCCCTCGTGGAATTTGCAATGCTGAGGGTGATACTTTGCAATTAGCCCCCCTCCACACCCCATTCAAAAACCTACCTCCCACCCCATCAAGACTATTGTGGAGCATGGCAATAGGTGCCAGAGCAGATAAGATCTATCCCTGCATATCTACCCAGTAGGGATTGTCTGGACACATTTTTTAAAAAATTTTTATTAGTGAGACACCATGAGGTACAGTTGTAGACTTACAAATTTTTGTGCTTGGGTTTCAATTATATAATGATCAAATACCCATCCCTCCACCAATGCCCATTTCCCACCACCACAGATCCCAGTATCCCTCCCACCCTCCCATCCCCCCCATCCCACCTTGCCTCTGTGGCAGGGCATTTCCTTTTGTTCTCTCTCTCCTTTTGGGTGTTGTGGTTTGCAAAAGAGGCATTGAGTGGCAATCATGTTTGGTCTATAGTCTACTTTCAGCATGCATCCTGCATTTTACATGCACCAATATCTGGCTTTGAGTCTCACCCAACCCCCCAAAATTGTCACCTACATTTAGTGACTCATGAGTCATTCCTAACTTCAACATCTATCCCTAATTAGGATTGGGCCAGGGGCAAAGCAGATTTGGAAATGTCAAGTAATGCTAAATTTTATGTAATTTGTAATTGGGCCATCCTCTTAAACCAAGACTCCCTATAAAAGATGTGTGTATTTGGCAATACAGTGAGCTGAGCGGCCATAGCTGTCTCCCAGAGTGGTTCCTCTGCATGCTGGTCATACTTCGCCCCATGTCTGTGCAAAGTGTCTGGGCACATTGGGGAAAAGTTTTCCCCAACAGACTCTGAGGAATTAGACTGGGAATTTCTCTTTTCCTTCCCCCACTGTTTTCACCCAGTGACAGGACGTATAACTTTGAGGAGTGTGAAATTTGATGGATAGAACTATTGCCCACTCGCATAGGCAGCCACTTGGTTAGGAAAAGTAGTGCTGGACCTCTTACTATAGTAGTGATGTAGGCAGGTAGATAGGGAAAGGCTCTCTGCAATGAAACAAAGTCTCATAGAAGAATTCTAGGACCAACCCACCCTGTGGAGACAGAGAATAAGGACTTGATAAGACCATCCCCAGACCCTGAAGATATGAGCCTCCTCTCCATGAAATTCCTCCTTTCTGAGAACCCCCCTTTCAATCCGGTTAACTCCAGCGACCCAGCCCCAAGGAGATTCCAGGACATTCCAAGTCAGATGATTCTCGAACCCCTTTTAAATCCGGTTGACTCCAGCGACCCAGCCCCAAGGAGATTCCAGGACATTCCAAGTCAGATGATTCTCGAACCCCCTTTCAATCCGGTTGACTCCAGCGACTCAGCCCCAAGGAGATTCCAGAACATTCTGAGTCAGAAGGATCTATAAGAACCAGTTCGAGAGTCCACTTGGCGCTCTCTCCACCCTCGGAGAAGCCCGCGTTCCCTCTGGACGCGTTACTCTCTCTTACTCTCCATTCCCCCGCTTATCTGCTTATCCCTTTCTCTCCCTCTCCAAAAGCCTCCAAATAAAACCTGTTACTTCACTGCTCGTCTACTCCTGAAATTCTTTTCTGCGAGCGAGACAAGAACCCCAGAGACCTCGGGTAAGGCTTGGGACTGGTCTCTCCATTCCTGCGAAGAGCAAATTCTCGCCCCAGCTTGAGTCCGTGGCTCCGAGCAATCGGGTGGCGGGGATTAACTCCCGTGCCGAGAAGATCAAGCAGACTTCAGGTGTGGCTTGACGGCCACCTTGTGGGGCTGGCGGGGCTTAGGCCCGTGCCGAGCAGGTGCTCACTGCAGACTTTACCGGTCCTAGCCTACCCAGGGTTCCGGGTGGCAGAGGCGGGTGGGGAGAAAGTGACCGTCTTTCTCCTCCCCACTTCACATAAGTCACCCGTGGGGCCCACCGACATCAGTAGAATTTGGGCATGGAGAAAGCCAGGACCTAGCGGGAAGGGAGGAAAGACTGCCTTCACTTGGATAAACAGCAAAGAGATATCAGTAGTAAGGTTAATCTCACTTGAAAAGTGGGAAAGTAAGCAGAGGATCTGCATGGGTTGCTATCTTGAACAACTCCCTTTTTTTCACTTTATATTTTCTTTTCCAATATTTCACTAATATTTTAAACTTTGCTGTCAGAAATCATTTCTGACAGTGCTCAGGGGTTGCATTGGAATGTGATGGAGGAATCCAGCTTTGCTGGGTGCAAGACAAATGCCCTACCCTCTATACTGTGGCTCCAGTCTCTCAAATGCTGATTTCCTTAAGCCACCTTATTGTAGGTGCTTTAAGAACTAATTCATAAGACATTTGCACATTTCAGCATTACATTTACATTAAAATCTGGCATTGTGGTACCTGTTAATCTCAATGTCTTTGTTTAGTGATGCCCTGAAAGTTCTAACTCATGTTCAAAAATAGTCTTCTCCTACAATACTATAAAATGTTCAGATCAAATATGTACATATTAAAATTATTACAGGGCTAAAGAGGTAGTATAGGTATTAAGCATCTGATCCGAGCATCACCAGGTGTGGTCCCCACAAAACAACAATAAAAAAGTTAAATGGGCTCTTTCTTTAATATAATCTTTTAATTTGTCATACAAAAAACAAACTACTTTTACAAATCATATCATCTTGATTGCATGGTGAATAGGAAACAATGTTAACCACATTAAGTCTTGTATAATAGTTTTAAGAAAGCTGATGCAGCATTGGATTTCCTTTTTGAAACTCTGAGCTCAGTAATTTTTTCAGACCGATTTTTTTCACTGACTTTGTGAGATTGCTACAACTCATATGACTTCTAGGAACTTAACAAGCTGATTGACTCTGTAGCAGTGATAACTTTTTTGGTGTCTAATACATGCATACATTAGGCAGAAGAACAAGCTCTTTAAATCCCCTGTGGAAACTACTGGGTATTTTTGTTGTTAATTTCTGCAAAACAGCCATTTCACTCATCAAAATGGTCAGAGAAACTTGTTCTAATCCTTCTCTGTCTCCAAATAAAGTTTCATCCAAATCAGTAGTGCTGACATTCAGTACTGGAATATCCACATATCAATCCACATCACAAACTGGAATCATCCAAACTGGAATCATCCACTTCCCAACCTGGAATGTGTAATCATTTATGTCATATGTTCCCTCCTCTTTCTCTATCTTCATTCTTTCCACTCTCTCTCTCACTCTCTCTCTTTCTCTTTTTCTCACTCACTGTATAGATAAAATTACTTGTTTTACTTCCTAAAACAAGATTACATTCAGAGTAAAAATTTCATTTCACAATTAAATGGCCTCAACATAAATCTAGTTCAGTTCTAGTTTAATTTGTTTTGAAGCTAGGAATGAGCTTTTGAATGATGCAATTTGCTTATTAATTTCTCATGTACATGGAATCCAAATTCTGACATTTAAAGTAGGCATCATTAGAAATTTTACAAGAAATTTGGTTTAGTTCACTTAATAAATGCAGATTCCATGTTTCAAATACTTTTTTAACATGAATGATAGCTGGTCCAAAAGAGAGGATGTCTTCAAAGTTTGTGTTGATATTTTTGCTATCTACTCTTAATTAGATTATCCAAATCAGTTCCCTTTGGATGTTTGAAAGAAGTTATCAGACTCCACAGAGCTAAAGGCGAAAGATAAAGTAGAACAAGAAAGATAGTGCACGTAAGGACTGAAAACATTCCATAATATACACACTCCCTGATCCTACCTGGTCCATGTGCCATACCTGCCTCTGACTTTAATTATCCAACTCTGCAAAGATTTCTGCAAGAAACCCTCAAAGTTCCAATAATTAGACAAGCCCAGCTTACCACCAAATCATTAGTAAAACTGAGCCTGGGAGGTATCTCTAAGGACTGAATGCAAACTTTGCATCTGGAAAGTCTGGGTTCAAGCTCAGATGTTGCATGGTTCCCTATGTACCTTCTGGAATACCCTGGAGCACTGATTTTGGAATACCACTAGGTCCCTCCCCCCCCAAAAAAACAAGTAAATTCTTAGTAAAACTGATGGTAATTCCCCAAATAAAGATAGATCTTTTTCATTATAGTCATATATCCACAATACTTTTATTCAACAAATATGTATTGTTAATCTACTACCTGTCAATCATGTAGTAGTGAACTAGCCACGCTGTCTAGCTGTCTATGACCTTATCATAGACATTCTAATTGTATATATATATATACATATATATATATATTTGCTTTTTGGGTCACACCCGGCAATGCTCAGGGGTTATTCCTGGCTCATGCCCTCAGGAATTGCTCCTGGCGGTGCTCGGGGGACCATATGGGATGCTGGGAATCGAACCTGTGTTGGCCATGTTGGCTGCGTGCAAGGCAAAGGCCCTACCCGCTGTGCTATCGCTCCAGCCCCTCTAATTATATTCTTGATGTACTCTGAAGTACATTCTAGTTATACCTAATTATGTAATTATATTCTGATTATATTGTAATAATGTCTAATTAGATATTCTAATTATATTCAGAATTTACTCAGGAGGCAGTTTTAACATGTTTTTACCAGCATTCTCAGTAAAAAGTGATTACAATTACTGACAGTATGTCTATATTGAATTTTTCAGCCTTATAACTAGTATTTAGTCACCATATTAAAACTTCACTTATGCAGAAATTTAAGAGAGGCATAAGATCTTTAATTTAATGACAGTTTTTTTTGGTTATTTATCACTCCACAAAAAGAAAATAAGTCAAATTTAGAGTTTATGTTCTATGAAACTATGGAGTAAAATATCAAAACCTGAAAAACCATAACTCATATTAAAAAATCTGTATAGAGGTTACTTTTGGAGGGAAAGACAAGTACAGTGTGCTTCCTAATGCTTAAAACTTCTGATTTTTTTATCTAGGAGAGATTAATACAGGTATAGATATTCTGTGGAAAATCATTGAGTTGTCTATTTATGATCCGTGCACATTTTATGTTCTTCTAACTAAACACCAACACTGAATCCCTGTCTGTGGTTCTACTTTCTAGAAAACAAGGGCTAAGATGATAAAATGTTGTCATTAAAAAGGTATTATGCATCCCACGTAAATAGATTACACACCCAGAGATTTACATACATGTACGATACACCTAATTCTTTCTGTGTTAATGATTTTTCCCAGGATGTCTAGGCAGGGACAGAAGCAATACACCATCCCTTGTGCTTTAACTCTTGTTAAAAAGGAAAGAAATTGCAACAGTCATCAGTGAAAAGTTTCACATAAGGGTTGGGGGATTTCAAGTTATGCAATGTCACAGTTTTCGATGCAACAAATCTGAATCTACTTCGTGTCCAAGCCTATTGGTACAAATCTTTGCATTCAATCAGAAAACTACTACCTTTCAAGTTCACTTGAAACCACTCTTCCCACAGATCATAAAATAAACCCATCTCTTCTTTTGTTTTTAAATGTCTTCTGTTTCTTGGCCTGGAGATTTGGTAAGCAAGTAGGATATTTGCCTGGCATGTGGCCAACCTAAGTTCTATATCTGGCATCACCATATGGTTACCTAAGCACCACTTTGAGTGATACCTGAGCACAGAACCCGGATTAAACTTGGTGTGACTCAGAAAGAAAAATAAATAAATATATAAAAATTTTTAAAACTCCTTTATTTCTTTTAGTGTCTGGTATTATTGTGACAAGAAGTCAATAAACACATTTCCAGCACAGCCAAAAAAAGAAAAACATAAATATATATAAATGTAATATATATTAAATATATAATATATAAAAGTATAAATACATATAAATATAAATAAATGTATACACACACACATATATATAAATGGCCTGATCTCGGAAAGATGTTCCTATATCCTTACTCTCTATAGACTATACACAGTTATCAAGAGGTAGAACCCAAATGAGTTGTACCCATTGAATGAAGTATATATATTCATTCAGTAAGACAAAATTCAGTCTTAAAAGTAAAGAAAACCCTATCTCATGTCAAAATATAGATGAAACTTGAGGATACGATTTTAAGTGAAAGTTGGCAGTCAGAAAAATTTGAATTCTATGTTTCTACTGATGAGACATATCTAAAGTAGTCTACCTCGAAACATAAGTAGAACAGGGACTGCAGGGGGGAGGAAATGGGAGCTGTCCTTGCAGGTGTTGTTTTGGTTTTTCAAGAAAATGAGAACTTTCTAGAGCTGTGCCACACAGCAATGTTAATATATTTCTGATATGAAGAGTATACTACCGAAACAGGCAGTTAAAAATGGTTACAGTAGTACATTTCATGTGCTTTAAAAAAAATTACATTTTAAATAGTAATTGGCTTGAAAGGCCAGAGAGATTATACAGGGCATAAGGGATTTAAGCCTTAAATCAACCCTAATTTTTTTCCTGGCACTAAGCCCCACAGGAATGATCCCTGAGCATAGCTGGATTGGTCTCAGACCCCAAATAATAATAAAAACAATAATAACTACAGTAAAATTTTTAAATAAAATATTTGAGGCTAGAGAGATGAGATAGCTGGAAACTTGAGGACACTGTTTGTCTCATTTGTTTGAGTGAAATAAAAACAAAGTTTTGTTTTTTTTTTGCGTTTGTCTTTACACAACAGTCACCTAAAATCCTTTTGTTTCTTGATCAGTATTTCTCTGTATGGAACTGCGAAGACTTTGTTCCTCTTCCTTCAAGAAATATTTGGTAACATCTGGTGTCATACATGATTGTTACATCTGTTTGTGGGTTGTTACTACATCTGGAAAGAACCACAAATTGTGTTAAACATCCTGTAATATATAGGACAGCACCCCTCCACAACAAAGTAATATCCAGTCTAAAATGTCACTGATGCTTCTTTTGAGAATCACTGTCCTGAATTATAAACCTAAAGGTATTACTACTTTGTCAGTCCTTCTCCTTCTAGTAGGCCTCATTGGGTTGGCAGAGCTGACTCTGGAAGCAACTGATAATGAGGCCAATGGTCAAAGAATGATGAATCTAAACTGAAAGAATGGAGAGGAGATTTTTGTTCAAATATCACTGAAATTCAAAATGAAAGAAAAGGCGGAAGAGAGAGAGATGGGGATTAATGGTTGGGACGCTTGCTGGTTTGGAAAGATTGGATAAGAAGAGGAAAAATAAAGTAGATCACTTGGGGGCCATTACTTTGTAGGAGTGTGCAATAAAAACTTTATATCCATTGCCTTATGCAATCCTTTCAACTTCTCTCTGTATTCTGAGTAGAATTGTGAAAGAAAAAAATCAAAGAGAGGAAGACTTTGCTTGGGTTGGTAGGTTTGATTGGTTAGTTGGAGAATTCCACCAAACGGAAAATGGCTGAGATTCTCACTAAGAAAGTGGGATCCTTCTTTGTCAAAACCCATGAAGAGCACTGCATCCCGCGATTTGGGCATATGGAAATAATGCAAGGAATAATGGGATAGTGCCAGAAGGCACCATAGGAAGTGTGGAAGGATACCAGGAGCTCAGATGCCGGAGGGCTAAAGGTCCTTCTGTCTCTCTTTCAGTTTTCTGGGCAAGTCCATTGCTATCCCCAGGTTCATTTTAGAAATTAAGGCAAGGGGATTGCATTTAGTAAACCATGGCTTTCTGGTTCTGGGGCCTAAAGCAACTTTTTAAATGGTTTTCTCAACTTCTTTCTTGAGCAGAAGAATGAGCATATGAACTTAAGTGTAGAACCCAGAGCCCCCTGAGGGGACACTGATAGTTTGAGCCCTGCTCCTGGGCTCCTTCTTGCATGCCTGATGGAAGCAAACTTGTGAGTGTTGCTGTTCAACAGATATGACTGGCTCAGGTTCTGGTACTCTTGCCCAATCCATTAAAATTAGCTCAGCTTCACAGAGCTATCCAATGTAGGAATTTGTTAGATGTGTGCAGAACCTTTCCCATCTATGTCCCATCCAAATCAACGCTTCTCTAAAGAAGTCAATGTCCATCCTTTGGGGAGAGTGAAATAACCATAAAGAAAGAAATCAGGGGCTGGAGCGATAGCACAGCGGGTAGGGCATTTGCCTTGCACGTGGCTGACCCAGGTTTGTTTCCCAGCATCCCATATGGTCCCCTCAGCTACCTCCAGGAGTAATTCCTTAGTGCAGAGCCAGGAGTAACCCTGTGCATTGTCAGGTGTGACCCAAAAAGCCAAAAAAAAAAAAAAAGAAAGAAAGAAATCAGATGAGGACGAGGGTGCTGGAACGGCATCTAAAAGTCTGGGAATAGCTTACCCAAAGTCTGAAAAATTGAAAAAACTAAAATCACACATGAACAACAAATAAGGTTTTCATTTTCTAGAATTACAATTGGCTCTATGTTATTGAATTCTCCTTGAAAATAGAAAAATATTACTGTTTTTTATTATATAGTTAATTTTATCTCACTAGATTTTTAATCTATCAAAATTACAACTATCATCAATAGTACTACTAGTAATTATATATTATCCCATTTTCTTTGGAAGTAACACAAGCCTTTCAAAAACATTTACTGTAATCTTTATAGTAAATCTCCAGTGTGGATATTGTTTCTTACTAAAAATATTGGAAAGCAGAGAAGCAGATAATGGATGTGCTTAATAAAACAAGTAAGTACTAGGGTGACAATTCAATTCACATGAAAAAAACAATTATAGGTTGGTCTTTGGGGGTGACTTCTGAAGAAGCAAAAAGTTTAGGCAAAAAAGGAAGTGCTGGACAGCTTGTAATCAAAACATGAAAGGATCACATCCTGTTTGGTCCTAAACCTCAAACTAAGGCAAAGTTGGCAGCTTTCAGAAGATAAGAACAAGTACGAAATTCTAACAAGTGTGTGCAAGAGATCCCAGAGTTAGACTCTCCCAGAATTCTGAGAATTCCGCTGAAACGTTACAGACCGGACACAGGTAGGTGATGCTGAGATTATTTTTCAAGTCAGCGCTCCCCTCACTGTGATTTTATTAGAGGGGATGGTAGGTGGTCGTATTTTTGTGAGAAGTTAAGAGACTTTACATTATTTTGGAAGCAGAGTGGGCAAAGGGAAAGTACATCTGGTTTGGTTGGTTGCTCTTTCCTATGGTGCGACCTTAGTGGGGTTCTTACCTAATGTCATGTTCATAGGAACAGATTTCTCCAGTATTCAAACTTGGCTGTCTCTGGGATGGAAGTGGTGCAGTGAAAGGGGAACCACGTCCTAATCCCAAAGACCGCCTGGTTCCAAAGGTTGAGAAGACCAGTGTGTAGGTCTTAAACCCAGGTTGTACAATGCCAATTTCTATTCTCATATCCCTGCATGCTGCAATTTCCTCAGACTAGTGTCTGACACAGGCTACTGTCACCAGAAGGAAAGGAGAAAAACAGTAACACAATCTGATGGAGGGTGCGAAGGATCCAGATTCAGGGAAAGCTGGGGTCCAAGTTCAGTTCTAGAGCTTACTAGCTGTATAGATGTAACTGAACAATAATTTCATCTACGACTATTTCTTCAGTACTAACTCTGCCATGTGTAAAAAGAAAATGTGTATTTTCTCATTCATAGACAATTTCTTTTATTCTGAGTTTTCATTTTGCATGGTTTTGCCAAAGAGCTAATTACCCAGTTATAAGGATTAAAGGCATTAGAGGATATTGCCTAGTAAATATGATAAAAAAAGATACCAAGGATTAATTCTAATATATTTTGCTGTTAGATATTAAAAGTAAATAATTAGGCAATTATTAGTAACGAAGGAGACGTTGCTGGGACCTGCTCGAGGCAATCGACGAACAACAGGATGGTCATGATCGAATTAGGCAATTATTAGTAACGAAGGAGACGTTGCTGGGACCTGCTCGAGGCAATCGACAAACAACAGGATGGTCATGATCGAATTAGGCAATTTGAACAGTATAGAATATGATAAGGAAAAGCGTCATGAGTAGAACCCTTATTGTGACCAGTGTGATAAAAGTTATATTTCATAATTGGGAGTAAAATTTAAGGATAAAATTTATCAAATATATGGCAATTCAGTTGTAGGGAAATAGAGATTTTGATGTATTGCAAATTTTTGTGACCACCTGTCTCTGAACACTCTGTTCCTGCCTCTTTGTGACCTGTTTATTTTCTACGTGGGAAAATAACCATAAAACCAACATTTGGGGTTTTCACAGTTTCATGCTTCCCTAAAGGACAGGAAATGGTAAAATACTGACTAAAAATCTGGGAACCAAACTTGGGAGCTCTCTGATGTGGAACCTGAATTTATTTTCTCTTCCAGTGTTGCTAGCCTCATCATGACATCGCAACCCATGACCCATGAGAATATTGTGATCATCTCAGCAAATGGCATCAATTTCCCCCAAACAGAGAAACCCGTGTCAAACAACCAGAAGCAGGACAATCTCTGGAAATATCTAAAGTCAAATATCAGATGTATTGGGGTAAGGTCTTCAAGATATGTTGGACTGGAATGGGGAGTGGGGGTGGGCAAAGGGGAGAGATTATGTACGTTGTCTTGGGATGCGACAGCTATTGTGAATGTGGAGACTCCTTTGTTTTGTCAGAGGTTGAAGCACGGAGCAATGGAAACTACTTAGAGAACCATCTGAACCAGTCTAAGGTCATTTCCACATGAGACAATGTTAAACATGCTTTTACTCCCACTTCCAAATATGAGCAATAATTGAGTTCTTTGTTATTTATCTATCTTTGGATATGCCTCATCAATAATTATATCCACAACTTTGCAACATTGAAGAAATACTTTAGGAGCCAGAGGAGTATAGGGGTTAAGGTATTTGCTGTGTGTGTGACTGAACCTGATTTGACCATGGCCACTACTTATGCCCCTAGAAACACAATCAGGATTCTGAGTATACCTGGGGGTGGCCCAAACTTCTCCCCCTTGAAAGACCACTTTATTGATATATAATAAACAAACAAACAAAACAAACACTGTCCTCCCATTGTTCATCGATTTGCTTGAGCAGGCCCAGTAACGTCTCCATTGTGAAACTTCTTATCACTGGGTTTGGCATATTAAATACTCTCGGTAGCTTGCCAGGCTCTCCCAGAGGGGTGGAGGAATTGAGCCCAGCTCAGCCGGGCTGGTTGCACACAAGGCATATGCCCTACCACTGTGCTATCACTCCAGTCCCTGATATATAATGGCATACAAAAAAGATGAGCATTTGTCTTTTTGATGGTGGTAATAATGTATACTGTAATGTAATAATAATTAGTATTAATGCACTCAAAAAGCAAAACAGAACAGCATCACTGGCCATGCTGATCAGGGGCGAACAAGGGCCATAAAAGCAGAAATACCTGAATGCAAGCTAAGCACTTGTCCAGATGTCCCAAGACAGCAATATTCAGTGATGCAATAACTCTCTCTTCCGAGACATTTTGTACATAGCTCTCACTCCGGAGCTTTTTCAGTGTATTCCTCACTAGGATTCGGTAGAAAATGATTGTGCATGAGTTGCATGAGAGAGATAAAGTTCTGTCTTCACAGAATCTGCCTTGGGTTCTCCATTTCTCTTTCAACAGAGTATCCAAATCATGTGTGGAGTGATCATATTGAGTTTGGGGATCATTTTGGTGTCTGCTCCATCCTCTCCATACTTTTCTAAAACATTTTTCCCCCTGTTGAAGACTGCACACCCTTTCATTGGAAGCTTGTGTGTAAGTAGAAATCCTTAAACAGGCAAGACAGGGTGTAAGTGGAAAGAAGATGCCAGAACTTAGGTGTCTCACCTTTACTTTCTACCTTTCCATCTTCCAGTATCAAAGAGCCCATGGTAGAACTCATTCTCTTATGTGCAAGCAAAAGTTGTTTGGGTTTGGGGCTGGAACAATAGCACAGTGGGCAAGAGTTTGCCTTGCACATAGCCAACCCGGGCTTGATTCCCAGCATCCCTTTTGGTCCCCTGAACACCGCCAGGAGTAATTCCTGAGTGGACAATTAGGACAAAAAAAAAGCTTAAAAAAAAAGAAGAAGTCCTTTGGCTTTACTTCTTTAGAAGGTCATCTAACTCTTCACCTCATCTTGGGCTATGTGGAAGCTGGGTTTTTTTTTTTTTTTTTTTTTTTAGAAAATGTAAGTGTTAGAAAAGGGAAAAGTGCCACAGAGGTAGGGTGGGATGGGAGAAAGGGGGGTGGGAGGGATACTGGGACTGGTGGTAGTGGAGAATGGGCAGTGGTGGAGGGATGGGTATTGGATCATTGTATAACTGAAACTCAAGCACAAAAATTTGTAAGTCTACAACTGTACCTCATGGTGTTTCACTAATAAAAATTTAAGAAAAAAATATATAAGTGTTAGGCTAAAGTTCTCACTTGTCCTTTGAAATAGCTACCTACCCTCATCTCTCCTTTCTTGGTGCTTTTCTAAGCGTTCTAGACAAAGAAGTTACATCTATGAATTTAATTGTAGCTTGCATTAATATTCATTTGTTCCTTCCCCACCACTTTGTTTTCCATAAATGTCTTGAAAATATTGTAGCTACATTTGAATATAGAAACTTACCTAACCATTGTCCATCCTTTCTGAGTAGCTTATCATCTCTGGACTTCTATCCATCATCACGGAGCGAAAAACAACTAAAATTTTGGTGAGTCTAAGAGACATAAGTCACAACTGTATATACTGAGGAGGAATTTAGGGAGAAATTTTTAGGGTGAATTACTGTGTTGAGTTTAAAAGTAAGTCTCATAGCATCTACTTAGAAGAGTTGGGAGTTATTCCTACTTAGTGCACGTTTTCCAACTTCAAGACCTGAATCAGACAACATTCAGAATATTGTATCATTTTTATACCAATGTTGTAGAGTCTATTCTAGAAAAAAGTCCACCTCATAGGATTCCCTTTTGGTATCAATGGAACTTCAGATTTAGATCATCATGATGAAGACACAGGATTTCAAGCTTTCATTCATGTGAACTCACTATTTAAGCCTCTCTATCAAAAGTCATAAGTAATCCAATTAAAATGCCTTGCTGTTCAATTTGATTTTATTTTTCTGAAAGATATTATTTTTGTTGGGCTAGAGTGATAGCACAGAGGGTAGGGCGCTTGCCTTGCACACAGCCAACCTGGGCTGACCCGGGTTCGATTCCTCCGCCCCTCATGGAGAGCCCGGCAAGCTACTGAGAGTATCACAGCTGCATGGCAAAGCTTGGCAAGCTACCTGTGATGTATTTGATATGCCTAAAATAGTAACAACAAGTCTTGTTACTGATGCTCGCTCAAGCAAATCGATGAACAATGGGAGGACAGTGCTACACTGCTATTAATTTTGTTTAAATTCAATGGAAACTCTTGGCTTCTAAAACTTGCATTAGTCATTAGTCATTTCTCCAACTCCTTTGTTGGGGAAACCCATTGGAAATGGTGTGGAGAGAAAAACCAACTGGCTGAAAGTAGCCTAATCTATAAAGATTTGCTAAGTCTTCACTCAATCTTATATCTTTCAAATAGCGAAATACAGCTGGATCAGATGTAAGAATGTCATCCAATACAAGAAAGTAAATTTGTGAACTCTGGCTTAAGACGTTTTCCAATGCAGTCAGAATTTGTTTTAAAAAAAAAAGGTGTTCAAAAATGTGAAAACTTGAATGCTAATATATTTTTAATCAGAATTATTAGAGGTATGCTCTCCAATAAAACTTCAGTGATAAAGGAAATGTGATCACTTTATTATCTGACATGACATGTACATATGTCTATAGATCATTTAAATTGTGACTAGTACAATTAAAAAGGGCTGGAGCGATAGCACAGTGAGTAGGGCATTTGCCTCGCAGGTGGTCAATATGGCTGACCGGAGTTCGATTCCTCCGCTCCTCTCGGAGAGCCCAGCAAGCTACCGAGAGTATCTCGTCCGCATGGCAAAGCCTGGCAAGCTACCTGTGACGTATTCGATATGCCAAACACAGTAACATTTGTCACAGTGGAGACATTACTGGGCCCGCTCGAGCAAATTGATGAACAATGGGAGGACAGTGACAGTGACAATTAAGAAATTGAGATTAAAATTATATTTCACTTCAAGTATTCATAGACTGTAGTGACAATCATATTGCATGACATGCAAATGTCATATTTTTGGATTTTCAGATGGGCGAACATAGCGCTCTTATCCTAGAGAAGATGATCTCAAAGATGCTGGTTGGGGTCTCAAGGAAGATCCAGTCCTGTCACAACTATCTATCATCTAATGATTTCTGCTATGATCACACAGTATATAAACCTTTTTTTGCAGTTGAAAAATACACTATTCCATTACAAATCAAATTATCCTAAGAAATAACTCTTGAAGAATCATGTCTACTGCTGAATAGCAGGACACCAGAAGCATATACTTTTGGTCATTATTTAGAGGATCTGAGGAACAAAATGTCTTCTCTGTCCTCTACTTTGCCCCCAGATTTCCACTGATGAATCAACAGAAGAGAGGTGGAGATGGGATTATGTCACGGTCACTGTCACGGTCCTCCCGTTGTTCATCGATTTGCTCGAGCGGGCCCAGTAACATCACCATTGGAGACTTTGTTGTTATTGTGTTTGGCATATCGAATACGTCACGGGTAGCTTGCCAGGCTCTGCCGTGCAGGCGAGATACTCTCTGTAGTTTGCCGGGCTCTCCGAGATGGGCGGAGGAATCGAACTCGGGTCGGCCATGTTGGCTGCTTGTAAGGCAAACACCCTACCGTTGTGCTATGGCTCCAGCCCATTACATAATCCAGCCCAGGGATTATGTAATGGTTGAATTTTAGCTACTAGGGTACAGCTCAGACTGTACCTACCTATGACTATAGCTTTCATACGATCTTAGATCAGGTTCCCCTTCTGTGAGTTGGAGAAATATAGAAACAATGTCAACAATCCTTTGATTTATCCTGCTCATGCCATAAATGTAGAAACGAGACCAGGTAACTGGGTATTCAGGACTACAGAAAAAGTAGAAGATAACGTTACTTTTATCTGATTTATAATATCTTCATCAGCTTTCTGACATCCTGTCCAAATCTCTTTCTCTTACCACACACTGCGACTCATTACACCATACTGGGGTCTAAGTCTAGAATTCGGCCTAGAGCTGATCATAAAATTCCCCTGAAAACAGTCAACTCCAATAAACCCGTCCATACTCCAGGCCTAAAATCAAAGATTATAACCCCATACTTGTGTATGTGTGTGTGTTTTTATTCTTAAGAGAAATTGCACACAATGATGTATGACTTGCTTCACCTGGCATATATATGGCTAATGCTTCCAGAAGTAATTCTGAGGGATAGGAATGAGAAATCATGTCAACCTTAAATCATACTCTCCTAGGTATTTTGCAGGCCTGGCTTGATAGACCCTTGCTATCAGCTCAGGGTAAAGGATTTAGGAAAGCAACACACTCCACAACCCTGGTACAATTTTGTCTAGAGAGAAACAGTTCATTTATTCATTCACTTAATATCCTTCTATTGTCAGAGAGGTGACAAGGCACCAGGAATACACACAGGTTAAGTTCAACCAATTCTAACTAGCTGAGGGATACAAAAAGAAAATAAAATTTGCAGTGCCCTGAGAAATAGACATAAGACATTTGTTGTTCACTTGTAGATATTCTTACTCAGGATTTCTCTTTCAGGTTCAATGCAGTGTGGCTACAAATATTATGAGCTCTTTATCTGGCATAGTGGGTTTCATTATCCTTTCCATCAACCTGACTGCTTTGGGTCCTGTTACATCGAAATGCCTCCTGGATGAAGAGAATAAACCAAAAGAGACCCATTATTACCACCATCAAGAAACTGATTACTGCTCAATGAGCAAAATTATTCTGACTGTAAGTATTTTAAGGTGAAATGCTTTAAGACTTGAGTTTTTAATCACTTCTTTTGAAAACTTCAAGTTTTCTGGTTTTGGCATGTGGGGTAAGGCAAGGATTATGTAAAGGATCAGGGACTTCAGAGATAAAGGGGCTAGGCAAAGGACTCACAATAGAGTGGAATAGAACCATCAATATAAGGTGATGTTGTGATGAAAAAATTAAAACTTTTGGTTAATTCTTTTCCTGGTCAAATAGATTTTATTCTTTGAGGCATTAAATAGGAGTTTCATCAAGGCAAAAATCTTCAAATATGTAATTAGGAATTACAAAAGGCAAAGATGACAGAAAGGAGGGGCAATATTACAGCAAGCAGGGCATTTGCCTTGCATGTTGCTGACCTGGGTTCGATCCCTAGCATCCCATATGGTCCCTTAAGCACTGCAGAGGTAACCCCTGAGTGCCAAAGGAGTAACCCTTGAGCATCACCGGGTGTGACTCAAAAAGCCAAAAAATGAAAACCAAACAAAAAGATAGCAAAAAGTTCCAAGTGATCATGAAGTGCCAACAGGAAACATGATAGATATATAGGATTGGGGTTTCACTTGGTCTTAGTAGACATTGGGTCTTGCACTGATTAGTGAAGAGCAAGAACTATAAGAGGTTAAAGCTAGGGTTTCTTCTTCCTGACACCACAGAGATAAATATTATTTATTAGGTAAGAAGCCAACACCACTGCATTTTTGCTATGCCATAGAAAGGAGGTATTTATTAAATTAGCATGTAATGAATATGGGAATATTAATGATTATTATTATTGAAGGGGAGAATAACCGTAAGTTTGGCCAACAAAATGATATATCTAACACTGAAGCATTGAGGAGATCGGTCAGAAATATATTGAGGGAAAGAAAAACAGACCACATGGGAGATGAAGATAAGACTACAGTAGGCAAGGCAGATGCCTTGTACTTGGCCAAGTCTAGTTTAATCCCTGGCATGGCAAAAGGTCCCCTGAGTACTACCAGGAATGATGTTAGAGCACAGAGCCAGGAGTAAGCCCTGAACACAGCAGAGTATACTACTACATGCCAAAAAAAAAAAAAAGACCACATAAGGATAGTGCAAAATGATCGTTAACCTGTGGTCCTAAAAGTGAATTAAGTCAAGAGTATGATTGGAGGGTGGCCACAAAAAAAAGCAGAGCTGATTAAGTTCATGCCTTCTTACCACTCCAAATGGAGCTGGCCACAGACATGTCTGCCAAGTCAGTGATGCTGAGAAAAGATACATAAATGAGGGCACTAGTAATTGGGACAAATCAACACATGGCAAAATCAAGTTCACCTTGGGAAAAATTCTTCAGGGAAGTCAGGGAAAGACCTGCATGGTGGGAAAAGTTAAGATTTATGGGATAATTTTACAGTGTAAATAAAAGGTATTATTATTATGATAGAATAATTTTAAGGTAATATTCAAGTTTTATTTCCTTTTCGGGTGTAAATAAGCAAGGCACATATGCAATCACATTTTCTCTCCAGTTCTATCAGATGGCTAGTTCTGCAGGAACAGTTAGAATGGTAGAATAATGAAATCTATAGTCTTGCAACCTTTTTGAGAGTTGATTTGGCTTATTAGTCATTACAGCCGTTTGCAGACTCAATAATTCTGTACAACTCTGACGGCTTTCAAGAAAAGCTAAGGAAAAAGGGTTCAGATATACAGTAGGGTTGTTAAAATTGGGTTCTTTAAAAGTGCCTGCCCTGACCACCACACCCAAAATGAGACAGAGAACAAAAGGGAATGCCCTGCCACAGAGGCAGGGTGGGATGGCGGGGGATGGGTGTGGGAGAGATACTGGGATCCATGGTGGTGGAAAATGGGCACTGGTGGAGGAATGGGTATTTGATCACTGTATAATCGAAACCCAAGCACAAAAATTTGTAAATCTACAACTGTACCTCATGATGTTTCACTAATAAAAAAAAAAGAATAGGGTGAAAGAAATCTGTGTAGATGGAAATTAAATAAATATGCACTCATCCTTTGAAAAAAAAAGTCCCTGCCTAGTGAAAATCTCAATCAGCCTCATAAATCTCTCAGAAAGAAATATCATGCACCCTTGATAAATGAAGAAGAAGCAGGAGAAACTGAAATAGTTCTAGACTCACACTGCCAATAAATAATCAAGGTAAAGCTGGACTGGGAACTATAGCTCCTCAGACTCAGCTTTTCCTTGCAAAGCCTTGTCTCCACACTGAGTGGGCAATGTAATCAGAAACAAGTGTGTGAAGGAGTTCATTGATTTTGTCACTACTCAGTTCCCCTCTTCTTTTTTTTTAATTTTTTTTAAAAAATTTTTATTAGTAAAACACCATGAGAGGGGTTGAATTGTGGCAACCACTAATCTCAGAAGGAATCATGTTCCCCTTCTGCTAGTGATTTTCTTCCATTTTCTGAGATTTGAGATTCCATTCCTATCTTCTAACAAGACACTGCCAATTTCATGTTTTCTGCATTGTAGGGAACTCTGTCTATGATGCTGATTTGTACTGTGCTGGAGTTCGGCCTCGCTGCTCTCACTGCTACGGTGTGGTGGAAACACGCTCAGTTTGACTTTCCTGGGGTGAGTGTGCTGGCCAGCCTCCCTGAGTCTTACCAGATATAGTTTAGTTTCTGATTTCTATTGAACTATGTTAGCAAGAGTAGTAGAAGGGACAATCAGTGCCAGGTCATGGGTAAGCAATGGTTTGATGGGAATGAAAGACAGATGAAGGAAGGAAGGGTAGTGAAATGGGAGACTTACTGGCTATGAAGACAGCTCAATGTGAAAAATAAACAATTTACTTCTCATTTTGAAAATGCAGAAATCCGAGAAGTTGACTTGCTCATCATTGTGGTAAGAGTTTGTGTCTGGACTCAGATCACTGGAACTTGGTGTACCTTTGTTCCTGGCAGAAAATGCATTCTGCAGGAAATAGCCTCTGGTCTCTTTACCAGTCTTAACTTGGTAAAGGGCATTTGCACATGTGACTACAATCAGTCAGTGTTGTATGCTCTGATTTTCCCTTTTGGTGACTTAAAATTTATTTTACCTGAAAACATATTTTAAAAATTCTGTCTGTCTGTGTGTCTGTCCTCCCGTTGTTCATCGATTTGCTCAAGCGGGCCCAGTAACGTCTCCATTGTGAGACTTCTTGTTACTGTGTTTGGCATATTGAATACTCTGGGTAGCTTGCCAGGCTCTCTGAGAGGGGTGGAGGAATCAAACCAGGTTCGGCCGGGCTGGCTGTGTGCAAGGCAGATAGCAGAGCTGTAGGGCGTTTGCCTTGCACACAGCCAACATGGCCGACCCGAGTTTGATTCCTCCGCCCCTCTCTGAGAGCCCACAAGCTACCGAGAGTATCTCGCTCGCACGGCAGAACCTGGCAAGCCCCCCGTGATTTATTCGATATGCCAGACACAGTAGCAACAAAATCTCCAATGGAGACGTTACTGGGCTCACTCGAGCAAATTTTAAAAATTATTCAGTGAAATTCAATGGTTTACCACTACGATGAGCTCATGTTTTTATTTAAATAAATTAAATTATTTATATAAACTTTTATTATAGGTAGCAGAGTGAATATAGATTAATGAATATAATCATTAAAAGAACTTAATGGCTTATCATTATCTCAGAATTGCTAAGAATTCTCTATGCATAACATTTGGAAGATATAGGAATTTCATGAAGAAATTTATAATTTCATAGAGAATTTTTATAAAATTTATTTTATAAATTTCATTGAAATTGCAAGCTACCGAGAGTATTCGATATGCCAGACACAGTAACAACAAAGTCTCCAATGGAGACGTTACTGGGCCCGCTCGAGCAAATCGACGATCAACGGGAGGGCCTTTACCTTTACCTTTACCATTGAAATTGCATATGTGAATTTCATTAAAAATTTCATAAATATATTTGTATTTATGTGTACTCATACTATCAACTTACTGGCATAAATGAAATAAAGTTTGAAGAGCTAACATACCTTGTTTCTTCTAGAGTGTGCGTTTCATGCCCAAGGATACATTTTCACCAAAGGCAAGATCTTCATCTACATATCAAGAACTCTTAACTTAGGAAATAAAGAAAATTTACCCAGAAATCTGGTCTTGATGTGAAAACCAACCAAAGAAAACCAAACCAAGAAAGGTTTAAATTCTCTTAAATGTAAAGTTTTATGTAATGTAAGATTAAAAGAAAATATTTTTGACCTTGAATATATGTTGAATGATTTAATAATGTAAAGGGGGTTCTTGATTTGTTATATACTGTTTTCTGTAAGATCCCAGGAGTGCAAATTACCATTGACTAAACTGATAAAAGAAATCATGTTATTCCAAGAAAACTAGATAAAATAATGAAGTAAAAGAAGCAACATTTTCTTATTCCCTTTAATTGCCAATAAGAATTGATTTTTTTGTTTAGAATTTTACAGTAGATTTTATTGTTTTGTCTGTGTGTTTGACTCATTAGTATGGATGGACAAGTGTCCAACAATTAAGTCTTAGAAATTATGTGAATAATTAACTTTAAAATAAAATTTTTATTCGATTATCACGTTGTATACTCTTTTAACACCACCAAGCAATTAACTCAATTGGGATATTACTTGCCAGGAAATAGCACCAAATTCTACAGGTCAAGTTTTCAATCTTACCTGTGTTCCCTTATTTCTCCCTGCCCCTTGCTCTAAGTGTATTTCTATCCTACTGGGAAAGTCTATTGAAGGCTCCTAAGGACCCTCTCTGGGTTGGATTAATTTACTATGGTGGATCACAGAACTCAGGAAAATTTTTACTTGCTAGACTACTGTTGGGTAACATTGCTTTGTCCTTCAAGAAGCTTAGGTTTTATCTGGTTACACCCACCACAGTGCTCCAGAGGCACTTCCACTTCCATTGTGTTTACATGTAAACATGTAAACAGTCTTTCCTATGCTCTCCTTCCTACCCAGTTAATCAGCTTTCCCCTTAATCAGACTTTGTTAGTTTGTAAGATCAGTTTCCCAGAAATCTATGATTTTATATGTATGAGTGAAATATTGCCTTTCTCCTCTCCTTATGCCTTATGAACAATTTACTTTAAGGTAATATCCTTTTTGTATAGATACAGAAAGACCGTTAACATTATGCTTTGTAACTTAGGATTTGATTGGCCTTGAATATTATTCACTCCTGGGCATCTGCTTTCTCGACTTAAGCCTCAGTTGCCCTTAGTTCCTAACACCCCAAAAGCAGGGTCCCGACGAGGGACTGAATGGACCCAGGGCAAGCGGTGAGCTACCCTGGCAGCGAAATGGGCCAGGCCAAAGTGCCACGATTCTTAACTATAAGTTAAGAGTTTGATCATAGACAAATGCTGTCATGATCCAAAGGTAACGACAAGACTAGGATCCTGCTAGGGGTGGGAAAGACTATCTGGCCTGAGCACCGTAGTCTGAGATCGAGATGGCCCTAGGAGAGCAATTCTATAAGTTTAAGATATTTCTTACTGTATCCATTTTTTTTTTCATCATCCTGTTAATCGTCGATTGCCTCGAGCAGGCCCCAGTAACGTCTCTTTCATCCTAGCCCTGAGATTATATTCAAGGCTTTTTAGGTGAATGAGACCCATCATTGTTACTGGTATTTGGCATATTTGGTGCGCCACGGGGAGTTTGCCAGACTCTGCCCTGTGGGCAGGCTATATTCGATAGCCTGCAAGTTTGTCCAGAGTAGGAATGGGATAATGAGATATCATAAAAAGATGTTTTGATAAGATGTCGCGCGGCCGCATTTGCGGCCGCGCGATTCCGGGAGCTGCATTTTGTAGTCTCTGAGTCTTGGCCGCTGATGGGATTACACGGCGCCAGGGGGCCAGGTGGTGGGTGTGACCCCCGCCTACTGGAATTTGGAGGATCTGGGTGGAGGATGCTCGACTCCAATTCGAGTAGGCTTGGAGATCTCGGCCCCGGAACCCGCGTGGCTTTGTCCCTCTGCCAGTACCTTCATGTGTGCGGAGAGTGGTCTCAGCATGGTGGTGGCTGGTCCTGGAGGTCTTCGGCTGCCGGAGCCCTGGTCGGGGTGGGGAGGAAAGCTCAACCCGCTCCCCTCCAAGGAGCTTGTCAGACAAGGAGAGGAGAGGCACGCCCATGGGATTCTGCTCTAGGGTGGGTCCTCCTGCTGAGGGAGGATCTGTCCTAGGAGTGGTCTTCCCTGAGGCTAAGATTTCTACCCCTGTTGATCTCCACCCATATTGATTGCGACCGCACCTAATTGTTTCCCCAATTCCTCATGGAGAGAGGATTTAACTGTACTGTAGGAGTGGGGAGAAGGAAGGAAGAAGAGAGTTCAGAGAGGATCAGAAGAGAAGGAGGATGAAGGGGAATGGAGAAGGAGAATGAAGTAGCTGGGGGAGGAAGAATGGGGGCAGAGAGATAGAGAGACAGATGAGGAGAGAATCAGAATAAACTACGACTAATACCTACCAGCCTGGCCCTCGTTCCTTCCTCTGCCTGACCATCGCCATCGACCTCTCCGGGGTGATAGAAGGGTGAGACTACCGAACGCGGGTGGCGGGAGAGATAGAGCCACCGCCGTGTGGGTGCCGTGCCCCCCACCTTGTGTGAGTTTACACAGACTACCTGTTTATTATTGCAGAAGGAATATCCAGGAATATCCAGATAGAAGAGGTACAAAAAGCAAGAGATAGGAAGGGATGCACCCTCTCTATATGTTCTCTGGATGCCCCTCTCTATCTGAATTTCTATATATATGTTCATGTAATATCAAGTTCAAATGTCAACAGTGCTCACTTTCAGAGGAGGTGCAGGAGAAAGAGGATTCACTTCTCTTGGACTAGGAGAAGTCTTCTGGGAGGTTTTGGGAACTGAGGAAGGATTTGGGCCATAAGTATGGAATCTTTCTTTGAGCATCTCAGTTTGGTACAATTCAATGCCCCAAATTTATACTCTCTAAATGTCAACATCCCTAAATTATTTTGGTAAACTTTCTTCACTACTTTCAATTCACAACCTAAACTCATTTTTCCACTTCCCATCTCCCTCCATTCTCTTTTCTTATTGCCTTTGCAGATGTTTTATTCATTGGCCCATCTCATCACCCTGATTTTAAATTTCCCTGACCTCACTCACCATTGCTGTTTTCAATGTCTCATTTCCAGAGAAACCTGGAGTTGACTTATCAATATACACTTTTCCTCCCAGGTCATCAGATACCATATCTGATGGCTAACTAGTCTCTCATTGTGTAATCATTCTCTCATTAGGACTACCTGATGTATACTGGTCACAAGGTACTTTTCTAAGTCTTGCGCCATCTTTCTTTCTTTCTTTTTTTGTATGTAAAGTTAAAATTTGATGTCACTTTTATCTCAAAATAACTCTGCTAGAAAGCTCATCTGTTTCATTTAATAGTGATTTATCCAAAATGACACCGAATCTCTACCACCACATTTTATCTTTACCAGAACTCTGTTAAATACCATAAGGTCTTCTTCAATGCATTTTTCTTTGGAATCCTAAAAATGAAAGTCTAAAACTGAACTTACTTTAGGTTTATTCATTCTCTACCACCCCAATACTTAGCCCTAAAATTCCCATCAGCAATTTCAAGTGCTTTTTTTAAATCTTAGATATAACATATTAATCAGTTCTTTGTACAAAAATTTTATCTTTTAATTTGCTTTAACAAGATTTACCAATTAAAGACTTTTTCCATATTTTAGATATGGCCATTTTTTACTGTTATTTATCTCAGACATTCCTCACTTTCATTTCATTTCATTTCATCATCCTGTTATTCGTCGATTGCCTTAATCAGGCACCAGTAATGTCTCTTTCATCCTAACCCTGAGATTATACTCAAGGCTCTTTAGGAGAATGAGACCCATCATTGTTACTGGTATTTGGCATATTTGGTGCGCCACGGGGAGTTTGCCAGACTCTGCCCTGTGGGCAGGCTACATTCGATAGCCTGCAAGTTTGTCCAAAGTAGGAATGAGATAATAAGATGTCATAAAAAAGATGTCCTGATAAGATGTCTTGGTTCCAGGAGCTAGATTTTATAGTCTCTGAGTCTTGGCCGTTGATGGGATTACACAGCGCCAGGGGGCCAGGTGGTGGGTGTGACCCCTGCCTACTGGAATTTGGAGGATCTGGGTGGAGGATGCTCGACTCCAATCTGAGTAGGCTTGGAGATCTCGGCCCCAGAACCCACGTGGATTTGTCCCTCTGCCAGTACCTTCATGTGTGCAGAGAGTGGTCTCAGCATGGTGGTGGCTGGTCCTGGAGGTCTTCGGCTGCCGGAGCCCTGGTCAGGGCGGGGAGGAAAGCTCAACCCGCTCCCCTCCAAGGGCCCCCGGCGAGGAACAGCCAGGCGTGGGGGCAGGAGACTGCCATTCCTCACTTTATTCTTTTTTATTTCAAATATATCAGTAAGTGACCTTTCTAGTTATGGTTTCCAAAATACTGAGTTATTCCCTACTGCCTATAAGCAGTTATAGGCAATATAATATACTGCCTATAATGTTGCTGAACATTACTGTGCCAGTAAATATGCTACTGATTTAATAAATACACATATTTTTGTGAGACTTTAATCATTTTATTGCAAAAATGTGTACTTTTGTATCGTTGATGGGACATAAAACATATGCTATAGAAAGTAATGTATGGCATGCATATTTCTGCACATATTTGATTTGACAAACTGATAATTGAGGGAGAGGGACAATCTTAACTGGAAAACTTAAATGTTAAAGTGGAATTTAAGGTAAGTGTTAAAGAAGAAGTGATTCAGGCAAGCAAAGAACATTTCAATCCAGGGAACATATGTGAATTGGTGAAACACAAAGTACATTAAAGTTGAAGTTGTATTAGAGAATAGATCCTTTTGAATTAATATAAAATACATTTAAATTTAATACTATTAGAAATTTTTAAGATTTGCATGTTGCTTGTAGATACACATGAATTAAAGTAAATTTTATAATGATATTTTTAGGACACTTTCAATTTACACCATGTCTGTTTCTGTAATATCCTTTTAAGGATGGCAGAAAAATTATTAGTAATATTTTAATTTTACATGTGATATAACCCAGACTATGTGAAAAGATAATGAAATAATGTTATAACTCCTTCAATTCAAGAAATAGATCTAAGATTCCAGTGCATAATCCTTGCATTTTGTTATCAGTGATAAATATACCATAAGAATGAACATAAACAGGAATCATCTATTGACAACTTCATTATGACATTAGGTTCAATACTGGCCTGCAGAGACTCTAGTCAAGTCTCCTCTTAATTCAACTCCTGTGATCTGGCATTTTGTCTTCCTGATTGCCTCCAAATTAACTTCAGGGTAATTTCTTTTTCCTTTTTTCTTTTTCATACTTTAAGATTTCCATCCCATAAATATGTATTCAGCATCCACAAAGTGTGAAAGAGACAAGTATGGTCAACCTCAAACACTATTGCATTATCAATTAACTTTTCCCTCAAGCTGCCCACGGTCCAGTAGAGGGTTTGTATATCATGCATATCC